GTTTTTTTGTGGTTTTCTGACAAAGAACAGGCTCCCAGAACAGGAAAACGCACAAACGCCCCCAGTTCTTCTGACAGCTGCATTTTTATACGCGCTTCCTGACAGCTGCAAAAGAACATTCCAGTTTTGTGGTTAGTTGTCAGCATTTCCACATAAGAAACATTTGAGAGGGCAGGGTGGAGATCGTCTGAAAAGAAACCAACCAAACAAACCAAGGAGGAAGGAAGTTGCACACAAAATACTGTGAGGAAACTTTGCAATGCTGCAACAGGCCAGGCTTGGGGAAGGGTTTTGTATTACACAGAAGAGAACAGACTGGGTTGGGCCTTGGTACCTTCAGAAACTGGAGACAAATAAGGCGAGGATCACAACAACACTTTTAAGGCATTCTGTAAGTAGTTACTTGTTCACATACAACAGGGCGTAGCGTTCTTCAGAAGGCATTGCTAAAGATTACATTTACTTTACCCAGAGGATGACAAATGAAGAACATCTACTTGCTGTAATTATGTAGCTTTGTATTACTGATTAGACAATCAAATTAGTCATCAAATTAATTCCTGCAGTGGTGTTGAACGCAAGTTCGTGATGAGATTTGCACCTTTTAGTACAAGCTTGTACTTCCTCACAGCTTAATATTTGAAGTTTGACAAAAATATTTCCCTAACAAGCTGGCTGGCTATAAATATTTATTAGCATCTTACAACTTCTATAGATTTGATTTTTTTGGACTTTTTTTAGAAAATTACATTGCTGCTAAAAAAAACCCAATCCCACGTACTCCCTTAGTCTCAGCCATATGATCACTTGCATTATCTCTAGCAAACGTGTGGCTGTTTGATCTGAACCAGTGATCTCATTCCCCATAAGAACACTGCAGGAAAAATTACGTGGCAGCACGGTTCTACCACACAGCTCTCTTGCATGGAAAAGTCCTGATTATGTCAGCTACATCTTAGAACAACTGTCCGTCACATTTAGTTGTATCCCAAACTGCTGTTCCTCACTCTACAGCTTCTTCTTCTGCCCACTACTCTGTCTGCCATAGGCTAAATGTAAGCGGAATACGACAAAAGCCTTTACACATCAGGGAAGATCAACACTGTTTCCATATTTAGGACTTCCTCAAGCCCTAGAGCCCCTCCTCAAAGATCTCCTTAGTGCAACTCCACTGGCTGTCTTGCTCAGAATCAAGAAAATGTTTTTTCTCACAATTCTGCTGTTTTCCTACCGTAAGCCAAGGACATACTTCTTACAAATTTTTCTGAACAAGAACCATTGTTTCTTGTCTGAAAGCTTTCTTTTCTTCTCTTAGTTCAAATGTCTCAGCAGATTCAGAAAACTACTGCAAACGGCAAAGGTAGGTTCTCTTTTTTTCATCTTGGAATATGTCCTGAAATCAACTGTTAGCAAAAAAATAGGGGAGGGATTTAAAAATGCTCAAAACCTTCATGTGACATTAAATAATTTGCCCCATCTGTGCAGTGAGGCAGTATACAAGTTTCTATACATATACAAAGTTAACTGTATCTTCGCTGACTTGTACGTAGTCAAAATTGCTTTGTTAAAACATATTTTTTCCCCTCTAGAAGTGTCATAATTTATCTTATTCATTACTAGCTTATTACTATTTTCTATGAAAAGACATTACAAGTTTTTATTACAAATTTAATTGATTATAAAAGCAAACTAATTCAATAGACCATCAAGGGTCCTGCTGCTACTATTTAAAATTTTGTTGAGTCTACTTACACAAGGTTAATTCTGCCTGTTTACATATGGCCACAAATAAAATACTGCTTTTACTTGCAAGTTCACATGCTACATCTCAACTACCATGTAAGGCTACTTTCTCCTACAATTAACACCCCACAATGTTTATCTTTTATACTTCTATTATTTTCATTGCTGCTGTAGTTCAAAAGTGGTTCATCTGGATACATGTGTTGGCTCTGTGTGTATATGCTCTCTTTGGTATGAAGACATGCATTTTTCATCAAGTGTCTGAGGCTGCATACTGATTTTGAAAAATACAAAGTTGCATTCCCCACTACCAGAGATGGAAAAAATATAACCCCCTATTTCAACAGAAATAAGCGTAGCCTAGTCGTCAACATTTTGGGAAAAATCTGAGTTTCTTGCATGATAGGTGCATTGAACTCACTCCGAAGTTTATTCTTTCCAGAGATGCTGTCCAATCCCAGGCTCATACCTGTTCAGGGGACTTTGAATGTAGTGATGAACCAGAACGTGACCCTCTCCTGCCACTCAGACTCTGGATCTCCACCTGTCAGATACACCTTGTTTAAACGTGGTCGGAAGGTATCCATTTTAAATAGGCCAGACTTGACCCCCAGTTTGTTTAATTTGACGATCAACTCTGCTGATGATATGGGTGAATACAAATGCAAAGCTGAGAATAACATCTCCAGTCGTGGAAAATACAGCAACAGTCTCAACTTCACCCTTATAGGTATGTCTCGTTGTACAGCTTCTCAGCACATTTTATTTTAGGGGCGCACAGCCATGCACTGTCTGACGCAATGGATCTGCAGTAGCAGGATTCAGGGTTTTGTTTGCAGCAGGTACTATTTTGGACTGCGGTGTGCGCCTGCCTTGATTGCGGAGCTGAACTTTACTGCAAACAGCTATTATTTCCTCGGGAGCTGGCAGTGCTGTTCTGATCTGGCTCACTGAGCCCTCCATCCTTGATGCCCATCTCATTTGCCAATGCTGCCGCTTAACTCCTGAGTCGCTTTGGAGCTTGTCCCATACTCAGTGATGCAGTCTTTTCAGTTTTCTTTTTGCAGAGCCAGTTTCCAAACCAGTGCTGAGCTCATCCACCTCTCAAGCAAAGAAAGGCCAGAATGTGACCCTGTCTTGTCTCTCAGAGAACGGCTCTCTTCCTATCACATACATATTCTTCAAAGGAAGAGAAAGCATCTCTCCCCCAGTCAAGATGCAGAAGAGGGAAGCAGCTGTGATTTTTCTATTTATCAATTCCTCTAGTGACTTTGGAACCTATAAATGCAGAGCTGAAAATAGCTTTCACAATAATACAAAATACAGCAAAAGTTTCAACTTTACACTAGCAGGTATGCATGCATGAAACAGTTTACCACTGTCGATAAGCAGGGACCACACAAAATTCAGAATTTTGTAACAATGCAAGTTTTTTAGCCAGAAATTTTGTTCCCGCAGTGTAATGTTCAAAATATGTATTTTTTACACCAAAAAAATACGAGTTTTTAAAATTAATGCAAAACAATAGAATTCCATGCAGCCTAGACAGTAGAAGTTGAAGTGACCATGAAGGATCATTGTAAAAGATTCACTTTTTACGAGACCGCTGGCTCCGCCTTGGGGGGAGTCACTAGTGTCATTTTTCTCTCTAGTCCTGTGAAAGAGAGTCTATTGGCACCAGCAAGCCCCCTGCCTTCTGCTGTGGCAGTGCGCACTTGGGACTCTCCTGGGTAGTTACATTAGCCACAGTTAATCCAAAAGCTGAAAGAAATGTAAAGTCTTGATTTTAATTTATAGAAAATACTTAGAATACGAAAAAACATTTCATTGCATAAACACCTTTTTTTTTTTTCTTTTTGGCAGAAGAGAGAAAACATTCTCAACCCCTGATAATTTCTCTTGGGCTGATCTTGCTACTATTCATTATAGCTTTTGGTCTGGCAATTCCATTTTTCATAATTCGTTCACATAAAGCAAGTGAGTTATTTGAATGTCTGTTTCATTTTCCAGCAGTGCTCATTTATGTTGTTAATACATTTTGGTGTGTAAATATCATGTTACAAGTAAAGTTATGCTCTTGGTATTTTAGGATGTTGTCAAGTCTCCTTTTAACCAGCATAGGCAACTTAACAAGACAAAACCTCTGCGCTATGTTTTAGATGGCAGGTCTGGGATGCGGGAAGCAAAGCAACATCTAATTCAATATATGTAAATGTTGGAAGGAGTTGAACCTCATTCGTCTTAGTAAAGACAGGAAATTCTATTAAAAATATCCCCTTGTTAAGGAGTAATTTTTAACGTGAAAATAACATTATCTGAGAGCTCCAAGTATTCAAAAAAATATCATGGAGCTGTATATTTCCCTCCAAGAAAACTGAGGGAGGTATATAGGCATGTGTTTGTTTTTCTTTTACAATTTGCAGAAAAAATTAAGTCTACTATGTCCTCAACTAGCCTTACTTCAACAGCAAATGCAGAAGAGTCTGAAAATGTCATATACATAGAGATCGGTAAGTTCACGTTACTTCCCATGCAGTCATGAAACTTATTTGTGGGAAAATTTCTGGTCAAATTTCTTCAGGTATTGCAAAAGCAGCAGCAGGAGACACCTACTACCCTTCAGTAAGCGAGCTAACACTTCTACTGACTGTGCCTGGCAGAGGCTTTATTTGAAGTCCCACAGGATCCGTATTTGGCACTACCTGTCAGCCATGCAGCCAAAACAGCAACTGGTTAAATGAACTGAAGTTCTATTAAAAAAATCTACTGTAACCAGAAGGAAAATGAAGCGTTGCATTTGGCAACTCATGGTGAGGACTGAAACAGCCATTACAGAGGAAAAGAAAATTAAAAGACAGTAAGCAGATCAGAGGTGCAATGCCCATTTACTAAGACACAAAAGGGGGCTATATGCAAGTTGTAGCAATATAAAACTTAAATAACTCCTGCATTCTGTTCAAAATTGTTCAGTGCACAACAGCTCCTTATTCCATTTTTCTGAAGTTCGACAAGACTCAAAGTCACTTCAAACTGAAATTATAAAGTAATGCTAGACAACAAAGCAATGACCTACGTTAAGACATCGTACTACTTCAGTTGCAGAAAATACGCAGTAATGAAGACATTACATGAAAGCTAGGATGCTGTTATCTTGTAGTTTTCTGCATTTGCCTTATACATGAACGTCAGTATTTTCAAGGGAAGAAACCCCCAAAACAAACAAACAGCAAAGGTATTATGTTTCCTGTTTCTAAATATCAAAAAGAGAATCATTCTCTCGGAACAAACCTGCCTTCCTGTTCATACAGTACAGAATTCTAGTGGGCCTGCTGTTAGCTCAGTGCTCTGCGCAGCTGCTCATGGCAGGTATCAATCAGCGTTCTACCCAAATAGCCTGCAAGGACAGTGACAATGGCTCTGATAAGGCCCATGAATGCTACAGAAAGCATGGTAGATTTATATTCAATATGGAATCTTGCTGCTTTGCTTCACAATTATTTAAAAAAAAAAAAAAAAAATCTGGTCAGTCTCTTGTAATTAACTGCTGTTCGTCATCTTTAATCCAGAGCCTGTTAAACCAGAAGAAGAATACGTCAACTTTTCAGTTATTAGAGGAGAACATGAAAAAGGTGAAAACCTTAAGCTATTACATTGTTACATCTGATGCACACAAATATGTTTCTGAGTGATTTTGTGGGGGGAGGCAGGGGTTAGATAGTAGCAGTTACATACAGAAATTGCTTACTTACTATGCATAAATTAAAATAACTCTAATAACTCTTCTTAACTCTAATAAATCTTCAAAAAGGGCAAGGAGGAGGACCCAGGGAACTACAGGCCGGTCAGCCTCACCTCCATCCCGGGAAAGGTGATGGAGCAGCTTATCCTGGAGGCCATCATGAAGCAAGTGAAAGAAAAGAAGGTTATCAGGAGTAGTCAGCATGGATTCACCAAGGGGAAATCATGCCTGACCAATCTGATAGCTTTCTACAATGACACGACTGGCTGGGTAGACGAAGGGAGAGCCATGGATGTTGTCTACCTTGACTTCAGCAAGGCTTTCGACACAGTCTCCCATGATATCCTCCTAGGGAAGCTGAGGAAGTGTGGGCTGGATGAGTGGTTGGTGAAGTGGATAGAGAACTGGCTGAATGGCAGAACTCAGAGGGTTGTCATCAGCGGCGCTGAGTCTAGTTGGAGGCTGGTGACAAGTGGTGTCCCTCAGGGGTCAGTACTGGGCCCAGTCTTGTTTAACTTCTTCATCAACGACCTGGATGAAGAGTTAGAATGTACCCTCAGCAAGTTTGCTGACGACACCAAACTGGGAGGTGTGGTAGATACACCGGAAGGCTGTGCTGCCATTCAGCGTGACCTGGATAGGCTGGGGAGGTGGGCAGAGAGGAACCTGATGAGGTTCAACAAGGGCAAGTGCAGGGTCCTGCACCTGGGGAGGAACAACCTCATGCACCAGTACAGGCTTGGGGTGGACCTGCTGGAGAGCAGCTCTGCGGAGGGGGGCCTGGGTGTCCTGGTGGACGACAGGTTAACTATGAGCCAGCAGTGTGTCCTGGCTGCCAAGAAGGCCAATGGGATCCTGGGGTGCATCAAGAAGAGTGTGGCCAGCAGGACGAGGGAGGTTCTCCTTCCCCTCTACACTGCCCTGGTGAGGCCTCATCTGGAGTACTGTGTCCAGTTCTGGGCTCCCCAGTTCAAGAAAGTTGAAGAGCTACTGGAGAGAGTCCAGCGGAGGGCTACGAGGATGGTGAGGGGACTGGAACATCTCCCCTACGAGGAGAGGTTGAGGGAACTGGGCTTGTTCAGCCTGAAGAAGAGAAGGCTGCGAGGGGGGGACCTTATAAATGCTTACAAATATCTAAAGGGTGGGTGTCAGGAGGATGGGGCCAGGCTCTTTTCAGTGGTGCCCAGTGACAGGACAAGGGGCAACAGGCACAAACTGAGGCACAGGAAGTTCCATCTGAACATGAGGAGGAACTTCTTCCCTCTGAGGGTGACGGAGCACTGGAACAGGCTGCCCAGGGAGGTTGTGGAGTCTCCTTCTCTGGAGATATTCAAGACCCGCCTGGACAAGGTCCTGTGCAGCTTGCTGTAGGTGACCCTGCTTCGCAGGAGGGTTGGACTAGATGACCCACAAAGGTCCCTTCCAACCCCTACTATTCTGTGATTCTGTGAACTCTAATAACTCTTTCGAGGGGGGAAAAAAGCAAACAAACCCCCCCAAATAAAAAGCCTATCACCATCCTATGACCCCAAAATTCAACAGCCTCATTATGAAACGATGCAGGAGATGTTATTAGTGACCAAATTGCTGACTGAATATTAATTCTTCTGTTGTGTATCTGTACCAAAAAAAGCAATTATGATTTATGTTACTCTGGCTTCCAGCAGAGAAGAGGGCATGTGCTACAGTCTATTCAAAGGTCCTCATCAGAGACTGAGTACAAGGTAAGAATCTCTTTCGTGATTAACTTAAATCATGTATTCTTAAAGACTCCTTCAGTCCTCAGATGTGGTAAGCACCACCAAGTCTGCACAGACATGAGGTTTAGATACTAGTTTCCTGGCCTAATTATTTTGTGGACAATGTAACTCATTCTCTGCTAGCAAGCAAAATCCCCAAGTCATAATCTGTAGGGTCTTCAATTTAGAAGAAAAAGCAGAACGGATAAAAATTGCAATTAACTAAGACCCAAAGAGCAATCCCATTAGACAAACAGCAGCTACTGCCCAAACAGCACCATAAAAAATAAATCAAAAACAAAACAATGCAATCACTGTCAGGTAAGATCCTGCTGAACACAATATATAGTCTGGCATTATATGATGACTAAACAGAAAGCAATAAATGACGTAAAGCTTTCACCCAGAACCAAGCTCCTGTACATGTAACAATTCTCCTGAAACAGAAACTGCATTGTATGCAAACATCAACAATCAAAAGGCCAGTGTCATGTATTAAAAACAAACAAAAAAAAAATCCTACTGTGCTGTCCTCTTCAGCACACGCTGGAAGATCCATATTTGGCCCTTGTACCTGTTGCTACCTAGCAGCAAGGATTGCAGTACCTCAGTTCAACATTACTTCAGCTCTCAGAGTAGGGATAGGATGCTAAAATTAACTTATGGGACAGTTAACTCCAAAACAAATTCTGGGTCCTGCTATAGCCTGTTTCTTACATGTTTTTTGGCTGTTTTAATGTCATTCTATGGCCAGTGTATGCAGAATTCCATAAGTTCAGTAAGTCACACAGCCCCACTATGCTAACCTTGCACTGTATCGAGTGTAATCACACTATGCAGCAATTAATAGCGTACAGCAGTTACAAATAACCCCTTTATAGTTAAATAAGCACCACGATAATGTAAGAAATTTTGAAGGCAAGGTCTTGTGTTTCATGACGACTATCCGTAGCCGCATGCCTTGCTGCATACACCTTAAAGCACTTTAATACACTGACTCAACAAGCTGTGCACACGTACTAAATCTACAGAAGATCAGAATCACTCCACTTCATAGCTACGCAAATTCCTGTATCTGATTTTGACTACAACACTTAGGTATAGGATAAACATGATCACACATTACTCTTTATCCATCATTTTCTATGTACGGACATTTTTTGTCGACAAAAATGCTTGTCAAAAACTGTTTACAAATTATTTCTTCTATTTCCTCTGCTACTCTTGGTATTCTGATTTCTACGTTTATGAAGTGCAAGATGAAGTAACTTAAATGTTGAAGAACTTAGGCCATGTGGTTAAAATACATTCCTACAAGCAGTAGAAAGATACTTACCGATGTTATTAAAACATTAAGACTCCAAAGTCGTTCATACAAAATACCATTTTCCAGCAGAGACCACAACTGTGTCAGCAGGTGAAAGATGAATCTTTAGGTTAGGATGGAGTATTTTCAATAGGATAGTAAAACCAAAGACATGAAAGAGAATATGGTTAGCCCTGCTAACGAGGGACTAGTTTGTCTCTTCCCTCTTTTCAAGATAACCTGGAAGACCCAGATGGTCTATGTTAAGACAGAAAACAGATGCACCACCAAGTCACAGCAGAACTACTTGCAGAGAAATCACTAAGTCCATGACACTGCAGAAGCCAGTTCAGGCACAGATGTTTACAAAAGTCCTTTTATTCAACAAATTTCAGTTCAAGCGTTTTTGGCTGATGTTACATACTTGGTTAAAAAGTCCTTCAGCCTAGAAATGTGCATCATTTCCTTCATTGTGGTGTCTCTGCTTCTCAGCTGGACCACTCCATTCTCTAGAGTGCCATCAGTTATCAAGACCGTGAAGAGAACACTCATCTCATCGTACCTGCAAAGAAAAGAGCACACCTGTTACTGCCTTCGATGTATGAAAAATTCAGATCTCTTACATACACATGACCATAAGCTGTAGATATTTATTTCTGTATACTGCACTAAGTCCAGCGTGAAGACACCGGTTTTCTTGTTGCCATACCTTGCTTTCCTGATTACATTTATTTAAATTATTTAGTTAATTTAGTACAGAAAAAGAATGTTATTTAGTGACCTGTTATAAGAGTATTTTTGTAGAAGCAGAATTTATCTTTCTTGTTATTTAATAGCCAGACTTACTTTGAAGACTACTGCACATGAACAGTCATATTTGTCTTCTCTCAGGAAAAAATATTCATCAATATACTCATTGACATGAGCAGTGATATGCTCAAAATTCACTCCTGATCAGCAAATCATATACAAAGCCCTCAAATGGAAAAGTAATTTTTATCTGCACAACTAATTCCATCACATACACTAATGCTAATGGTTCCAGACTTGGAAGAACTTTGAAGTTCAAGACTAGACACTGTGTGCTATTTGAAATAGTACTTAAGAATGAAACACAGAACCAGTCCAGATGCAAAAGCGGGGAGTGAGGGTGGGAAACACTTCTGCGAGCTTATGACTCATCTTCAGGAATTTATTTTCAAAAGGAGAGTCTCTAATAAGCATTTCACAGTTCCAGAGAAACAACAACATGTGAAAGGCTTATACTTCACTTAATTTTAAAAACAAACTATCTGACATTGCTCTTTGTAATAAAACTAAGTGAATCCAAGTTTATAGTTCGGGACACACGCCTTCAGTCATGTGATTACTGCACTCAATGACTTCTTACTGAAAACAGGCATATTTTCGCTACTCCACAGAAAGTCATCTTTCACCGTCATAGTTTAATTTACAAAAGACTTTTTCTCCTTACTTTGTATAAAGCTGTTCCAGAGATACCTGCACAGTTTCAAGATAACCCGGCCATACAGAAATTCTATTTTCTGACAGTTCATTGAACAATCCTTGACAAACCTGTGTTTATTTAAAAACAAAAGTTAAAAGACAGATTTTGAGGGTCTGAAATCCTGCACAAAGAAACCATTGAAACACTAGTACGTGTGGTGTTAGCATTCCTAACTGTTGTTAATTTTCTGGCTGAAATAATCTCAAAGTAGAAAGCAGACTGGCAATTAAATCTCCATGCCAGTGTAAGTTTCCTTCCCTTCTGTGGGGACTGGCTTAATGACTGACTTAAATAAGCACTTTTAAAAAATCCTTCTGAAGATGTGGTCCACGCAATAAGATAATTCTGAAAGATTAAGAAGCCAAGAGGGATTGTTTAATTTATTTTCCTTAATTTTGCATGGAACAAATATCAACTCTATTAATAGTACTAAAACCAATGTGTTAACGCAAGGCAGGCATCTACTACCCGCTGTCTGCAGTGCACTCCTTCGGCTACGCCTCACAAGCTGCACAACAGAAGCTCTGTGAAATCTGTACAACCCCAAATCTCCGAGAATTAAAGCAGCAGCATGATTTTCCCCAACAAGTGTTTGACTTCTAACAGGTGACATGGAAACTCAATGCTCAAAATTAAAGTACTCTCTTACAACGTACCTGCCTCAGCTCTGTTGTTGTACCTTTTCCCACATCCAAGGCCACTTTAAGAGGCGCTAAACAAGGATGAAGCTTAAGTACCTAATAATTTTTTAAAAAGCAACAAATTACTAAATATAGTGTTAAATTCTACACAGAACTAGGAAATATTAACATTTTTTCACTGAAATTAAGGTTCTAAGCATGCAAAAATTTTCTTACAGCACAAAATTCTGGACAAGAAACAAGCCGTACTTTATATAACTAGCACACATGCCAGCTAGGTTAGCATGGCAGAAATTATTCCTTTTTGACTGAGCCCCAGGAAAGAGATGAAGTCTTGTTAGCAGAGCTCCATCATATTTAATGGAGCCAGAGTGATCAGAGACAGCCGAGCAGACAGTGACCACCCACTCTACTGCTTGTTCTTAGAGACCAAACGGTTGTTTGATTAACCAGTGCTGTCTGAAAGGTAGCACTCCAACACCAGAAAAACAGGGTAAAAGTGGGAATAATGATGGTCATTGGCGAAATGCCCCACTACCACCTGCAACCCACTTTCTATGCTTCTGGGCAACTTTCAAATGCTGCTGGCAGAGACAAACTCCTCTTTCCTATGCACGGCAGCTACATTCCAATTCCTCTTGAATCCTTCATCACTGGCATCGCAAGAACGCACCTTCTGATCAGAGAGAAGGTGAAACAGAAAAGGTCACCTCAGAATGAGACAAAAATTGCTCAAGTGGTTGGAAAAGGACGCAGAGGCAGTCCCATAGGGCCAGCCTGTTGCTACCAGTGAGAAGCGCTCTGTGTGCACCTCTTAGGGAAGGGAACCGAGGATGCAGACGTGGAAAAGGGAAAGATTTCCGTGCTTGAATTTACCACATTGTCTGTGGGTTTTGTACTTAGACCTGCCTTTGCCCTGCATCATTCATTCTTCCTTTCGCTTTTCACAGAAAGTTACCTTTCTCTGTGAATTTTTCTTTTTTGTTAATGGATTCTCAGCTAGCTGTAGAGAATCAAAGAGATACGCTAATGCTCCTCGGTCCAGATTTCCACTCACAGACAGAACATGAGGAATAACATTCTTCCTTCCATCTCGGCCCTGAAGAGAAAAAAACACACAAAGGGATACCTCAAAGACTGTCCCAAAAAGCCTTTTACTTTAAATGTATAATGAGGCTTTGAGCTCAAGCACCCTTATTATGTTTACAATACAGTACAACATACATTTTAAAATATTACCAGCAATCTTAAAAGTATAACAGTAACTAGGTAAGATTGTAACACTAGAGAAAGCATATTAGAGCAGGATGGGATTATTTTCTTGTCCTGTCTCTCTAATCCTAAATTTAAAACTATGGCAAATACACTTGAAACTCTATTTCTTTTGGAGGTTTGTAGATTACTTCCAAGTGACCGCAAGATATTCCCCCACATTTTGAGAAATCAATAGGTAACCCACAGTTTTGTAGGTTACATTATGGTCTTCTGCCTTCTGTATAGAAATAAGATGCAAAACCAGGAAAGAGACAGGACTGTCACAAGAAGGACAAGGTTGCAATTTACTGGTAAAATATGGAGCTACGCTTGTTTTATCTGTTCAGCCTGACTTTTCGAACGTTGCCATTAGCTAGAAGTTTGCCTGTCTCCAATATATTCAGTGGAAAGGTGTCTCTCTGTTCCGTTCCCCCTTCCGAGTGCGGTAACTTCTATAAAGCCATCTGGAGTATTTATAATCTATTAATCCACACACACTTCTACGAATATACAATTGGACAAGCTACAAAAAGAAAAGACATTTACAGGTTCTCTTTGATGCAAACTTAACACTGCAAAACACAGACTCAGTTTGTCTTGACACCTACTCAGAGGTAAAGGCCATGCAACCAACAACAGCTGTCTTGTAAACGTTGCTCGGTTCTGATTTAAAAGAATTCTCTCCTTGCAAAAAACCCCCCAAACACTATTTTATCAGCTTTTGAAAATGAAGGTCTGACTGCAGATTATCAATTGTACTGCTTTTACAAGAAAAGAATAAAAAGACAGTGATAGGCTAAGCAACTGGACCAGCAAAGAAACCACTTCTCTCACGCATTATCATCTTTATCAAAGAAGTTTTTTAATATAGTAAAGCTTACAAGTAATTTTGAACTATCCCCTGGATACATCTGTAACAGTTCAGTATCACCAAGGTTCTTCAATGTTTCTATTGTTTCTTTCCCCCAAGGAAAGCTATAATGTAAATTAAATCCTCTTCTTCCTTCCTCATCCTGAAAGTCACTGCTGGTGAAGTTAGACGGGCCTACTGCAAACTGCGAATTAAAGATATAAGAGGTCATCACTACTGTGCATGCTATATTAACTATAGAAAGTCTGTAACGCAAGCTAAAGTCTATGATTTTCAGCAGAATATCTTTATTGTTTTACAGCAGTTTGATCTCAAATCACTTACAAACACAAAACATTTGCCTTTCCGCAAGTCACATTATAAATGACTTAACAGGTTTGTCACAAACTTAAATAGTTTTTCAGTTTCTCACAAAAAATACATGTCTTTCCGTGACAAGAATAGGCAAGCAACGTAACTGCATCAAACCAATCAAGGTGTCTATTTCCCCTCTCTGAGATACAAAAAAGCAGGCCAAGATTTCCCGCGGGTACACTGCTGTTACCTTTCTCCACCACTGCAGTCTCTGGCGTAACCAGTAATCGAGCCACTGCCCCGCAGTTCTAGGAGAGCTAAACCATGCAAGCAAAGACGTGGTCCTTTCGCCTATTCTTTAAACAATAGCAAGGTCAGCAAGTTAACTCCTTCAAAAACAACGGGAAAAAGCAAGAGACAGCATTCAAAAAATAATCCAAAAGTGAAACAAGAGCAAACAGTTTAAGTATGGAAAGGGATTAAACCCTCTATTACACTACCTTCTCAGACATTTGTTGTGTGGTTCACTTTCTGGAATGGAGTGAAAGCACACTCCAATCTGGGCGAGGCCACAAGGCAGCCTTTTGTTCACCAGTTCTAAGCAACTATCATACTGCGCCAGAGCACCTGCCAAGAGAACACACACACGATACACACCGTTGACACGTGCAGTCCCGCTGGCGTTAATGCTTTGCGGAATCAGCTCAGCAGTCTGTATGTAGCCCCATTCCCCCGGGTACTTTGGCGACCGTGATGTTAACGCGCCTTTCCCCTAATTACAAAGGAAAGCACCCGACGCGCACCCCGGCATTCACACTGCGCAGCGCCTTGGATGAACCCCAGCTCACAGCATGCAAACTTTGCCAGCGCTCTCACACACCTACAAAATTCCTTTCGATGCAGCCGCTTCGCTCGCAGCAAGCAAAACGCGAGCAGCCGCCCCCCCCGCGCCGCGACGGACGAGGCACCTACCGGGAAGCAGGCTCTCACGAAGCACCCCCGCCGTCCCCAGCACTTCTTCCAGAGACGCACCGCCG